GTGTTGGAGGATCACTGGTGCTGCTTCTGAAAGGGCTACAGGCTGCAGTGTCGTGGTCAAAACTGCATCTGTGTTGGAGGATCACTGGTGCTGCTTCTGAAAGGGCTGCAGGCTGCAGTGTCGTGCTCAGAACTGCATCCCTGTGTAACGAGCTCCATCTCCACAGCTGGGTGGAGCATGGAGTCACTGCAGAACTGTCTGCGGCCACTGCAGCTGCAGGTGGTCATGCACACACACACACACACCAACACATACACATACCAATACACACACACACCAACATGCATACACACACATATCTTCATGAGGACTGTCCATTCATTTCTATGGGCATAACCCTAATCCCAACAAGGACAACCTTAACCCCTACCCAGACCTAACCTAAGCCATAAACGACCAATCAGAATACAAGACTTTCGGATTTTGTAGTGTTTTCAATGCAGTGACAGATTTTATCAGTGTATGGACCAAAGAAATATAAAAATGTAAAGTATCTGTACCCCACAATGTAGTAATTGCAAAAACGCGCACATACACACATACACACACACACACACCTCCCTTTCCAGAAACAGCAGCATTTAATTAAAGTTCCTTCCCTCTCATGCTAATGTAAAATCATTCAACAGATCTGCGGACAACAGTTTTTCAAATCATTCTGGGCCAGACGGGTGTGTGTGGTGGGGGGGGGGGCAGGGGGGGGTTGATCAGATCAGTATCCAGATTCAGCAGGTGTAGGGTGGGAATGGTGATATTTGAAATGTGGGTCTTAAGAGGGATTTCTGTATTACAGGACTGGCATCCATACCCAAACCTGCAACTCGTGTGAAATGAACATGAATATGGCTGCTGGTCCCAGAGATCACACTGTGCTCTTCCTGCTGGATTCATTATGGACAAAATACCTGGTTCATTTCACACGTTTAAATGCTAATTTATTGCCATAAAGCGTATGAGAAAGCATAGACTTTTATATTTTAATTACCAGCAGGACGTGTTTTTCCCAAATGCAGTAACATTTTATGTCTGGTGTCTAGCTGCACCAAATAACCGGTCACTGACAAATACTTCCAGAAATTTCTATTATTTCAGCGTCTGGAATAGTCCCCTGTGAGACTCTGTTAGAGGTTTATAGTAAAAACATTTAGGAATTTACAAGTCTGGTTTATTGATTATTAAACATAGGTGGTGCAATCCTTGTTGTTAACAACTTAGTCGAAGAAACCCAAGCAACATTTAAGACTGAGGTGCTGATTTAAGTCGGCCAGGAAGCTGTATGCAGAAAATCGTTCAGAACACCACCCTTCAGCCTGACGTAGCCTGACGTAGCTATACTGCTTTCTGTAGCTGTCTGTAAACAGCATCATCTTACAAAGTGAACTCAGCAGCAAGTGTTTGTGAAAAAAGCAGACGGCTGTTTTATTAAAGGTATTTAAAGCAGCGTCCGGTTTCTCACTGACTGGATGTACATCAGTATCTTACAGTACATCTCTTCAGAGAGTCAAACACACGATACCTGCAGCTCCGCGCTCATTAATCTTGGAGACCCACAGAAAGCACACCTTTATCTGGAAGAAGTGGGACTCTTTTTTTTTTTTTTTGACTGTCACACTGGATCAGCTGCTCTGGCGAATCTGTGTGTAGCAGCAGCCACATGCTTTGAGACGTAACATGTCCTAAGCCCAGTGCCGGGCGATCCTTTAGGAGACACAGGCGGCCGCCTAGGGCGCCATCTTCTGAGGGGGCGCCAACTTAGCCAGCGGATTTCACTCTGTCTCAGACAGGGGGCGCCGGCGGTGAAGCTTGCCTAGGGCACCATCTTCTGAGGGGGCGCCAACTTAGCCAGCCGATTTCACTCTGTCTCAGACAGGGGGCACCGGCGGTGAAGCTGGCCTAGGGCACCATCTTCTGAGGGGGCGCTGACTTAGCCAGCCGATTTCACTCTGTCTCAGACAGGGGGCACCGGCGGTGAAGCTGGCCTAGGGCACCATCTTCTGAGGGGGTGCCGACTTAGCCAGCCGATTTCACTTTGTCTCAGACAGGGGGCGCCGGTGGTGAAGCTGGCCTAGGGCGCCATTTTCTGAGGGGGCTCTGACTTAGCCAGCCGATTTCACTCTGTCTCAGACAGGGGGCGCCGGCGGTGAAGCTGGCCTAGGGCGTCATGTGGGCTTGAACCTGTACTCCCTGTCTCAAAACAATCAGAATCAGAATTGGAATCAGAATCAACTTTATACACCATGTATAGCCTGAGTACAAGGAATTTGTTTTGGTGTAACTGGTCACAATAAAGTAAAATAAATTACAAAAATAATATAAAAGAATGGTAACATAGAGCGATCAATGCCCAGGCACAGGGGGGTGACACTGGGTGGCTTCTGATTTCCATTCAATACAAGCCCGGCATGGCGTACGAACAAACCCGGGTGGTAGAAGCATGCAGGGCTGCCGCCGGTGTGGTCTCGCGGTGCGAGCCAGTGATTTAGGGGCTGTTGCTGTCGGGCAGGTTGCCCAGCGCTGCCGCTGACTCACCGCTACATCCGAGGCTGCAAGACGAGGCCCAGATACGCTCATGGCAGGTGGCCACCTTCCTCTAGTACCACGTCTCCCACAGTGCATCCTGGGAAGTGCGCACTCTGATTGGTCACATTGGTTCCACAGCATCACCATCCACCTGCGCAGAGGGCAAGGCGGAGCTGCACAGGTGGAAACAGAGCCTGATACTGTACTATGTGAATCCTGTGTTTCAATGAAGTCTGATTGACGTCTGATGACAGTTTGTGATGAACTGTGACCCTGTGGTCATGTTCTGCTATTCATGGGAATCACTTTTGGTGTGAATGACACCAGTGTGGTCGCATCTCCAGTCAGTCACGGTCCGTGTTAGGCGCTCTGCCGGGCGTTTGTTGTTTGTTCGTTCGTGTGTTTGGGCGTCAGGATTACAATGTTTACGACTGACGTCTGATGTACCGCTAATGTTGGCTGCAGCTTACCTGCCGCCCCCTGGACAAACAGGGCTTGTCCAGACAAGGCCGAAATCACTCTAATGTCACTTCGCAATTACTCTCACGCAGCATACATTTACAATTAAAGATGAAGTCGAGTAAAAATAGACAACTGAAATTTTAAAACGTCTATTTAAAAAAAAAGCATATGGGACGATAAATTTCCGACAGTCTAGCAAAGTTTTTCCTCTCATTTTCTGCGACTCCAGCTGTAAATATAATTCCGATGCATGGCGCGGCTGTTTTATGCGTTACCGCGCAGCGGGGGGTCTTTATCACGTATCACTCAATATAGCATTTGAGCTTCTGCTTTTGAGTTTGATCCAAGAGAGCACGGCTGTGGCTGTACAGCCTCCGATGCAAGACATAAATAAAAGATATGAAACTTTATTATATGCTAAAGTGCCTCCGCCGCTTTTATTTTCAAATTGAAGCTCTTTCATCGCCCTGACAGGTTATCCATCCCCCAGATCTCGCTCTCTCTCTCTCCTTTTTTCGGGGTCGGGTGGACTGGGGGGGTGTTCATGCACGTCACTTACCCCCCTTACTTTAAAAGAAAAAGGCGAATGGGTCAGGATCGTTCCCGAGGATCCCGAAAGACTCGCACCGACCACCGTGCAGTAAAATCGGTTTACAGGACGGGTTAGCGATAGAGTCAAAGCAACAGCAATGCAGTGAGCTCGTCTTTATCTGTTTATATCATAGGTCTATATACACGAATAATAACTTTTTTTAATCGCGAATAACTTGCACGTGCAACTATGTAACTATGTTGGTTAGAATATATTGATGTTTTTTTTTTCTTTTTTTTTTTCATTTTTGTTTTCGCCACCTCAGTATAGGTTACAATATAAGTTATTTTTCTCTCTATATATTTTCTTTGCGTATTATTTTGCTCCAGTACTTTTGTCTTCATCCAGTCGTGTCAGGATGCGGCTTTTCCCCCTCCTGCTCATACTGACCATTGCAGCGGACATGTGGGAAGGGGGTGATGCCAAATACGGGGAGCATGGAGAAGCGGCGCCCAGGAGGAGGAGATGTTACGACGGCAGCCTGCCGAAGCGCCCGAAGAAGCGAGACAACGGCGGCATGGGTCTGTGTCCAAGGCTGTACCCCCGGCTGTCCTGCTGCCCCTCCAAGAGGTCCGCCTTTCGGATGCTCCACCGCCGGAATGGCATGGTAAGTCCGCTTCCTCCTAAGCTTGCGCATTTCTGTTGGGTCTCGCTTCTTCATGGACCTGCAGGTTAGCATGAGACCCGCTTTGTTATTTACGTGTTTATTAGCTGTTAACCGCAGCTGGTACCGCGCAGTGTGTCTCCGCTGCCTTACGCGTGTGCCGGTCTCAACAGCTCTCTGTTTACACACCTTAAAGCTTCTCTTTATACAGATGACACCGATCACATAAACTCACAGACACACAATCAACAGCATTAGTGCTGTCTATATTAATTTCGGAACTGAAGGGAATCCTATAAGAAATTAGTTTTGCCCCCATGGGCGGACAATTTGACCGTAAGCGAATAAAAGCAACATCACATTTTTTGCAATAACCAAACTTAACAGTCAATATTAAAACTGCGAAACCGCCTCGGTACCGATGAAATGGATCTTTTGTTATAGACTCGCAGAATGGACGCCTGTTTCTGGGTCGTATATTACTTCACATTCCCGAGGCCCAAGTATATTATCATCATTAAAGTTATGAAATCAAGGACACGGAGAGGAACACCTCCGTCCGCACTACGCACTGTGGGCCCACACACGCAGCCGTCTTGCTTACGGCTAAAAAATAACACCACAGTTGTGCGCATTGCTGGATCACTAATGACTGAAACCGGAGAGCGTCACTCTGCCTGTCTGTCCAAATGTTCATGCTCTCGAGAGGCTGTGAGTCCCGGACCGCGACTCACCTTCTCAGAAATGAGTGTTTTGTTGTTCTTGTCTTGCCTGGGGCGCTGTGCAGAGGGAGCCGGGCTGACGGCGGGAGACGAATTCATTGAAGAATGACTGAGTGTGTGGCTGTATTACACACAGAGGATGAACTTGAACATATTTAAAAGTTTATCGCCACCTGCGTCCTTCATTTAACTGAATTGTTGAGCTGTTCCTGCATTTCTCCAGCCTTCTCCTGTCCAAGTCAAAGTGGTTTCTGCACCGTCAGAGCACACACAGCAGGAAGAGCAGGGCACCCCCAGGATGGGATACCAGTCTGTGACAGGGCACACACAGCAGGGAGAGCAGGGGAAACCCAGGA